ACCAGGGAAGTCTCTCAGGTCTTTCTAAGTATGTGTACTACTGCACACATTTGTGGCCTTCAAGATTCCTAATAATGTGTCAGAGCTTGTCAAAGCCCCTAGGGACATCTCATTCCTCAGCTTTTCCTTTTAAGCGTTTGGGTTGGTACTATTGTTTGCCCAAGTGTTATCTATCACTGCAGACAGACACACCATTTGCCTGTAATTGTTTTTGACAAACAACTCTGGTGAGAGACTTTTTTAAAATTTTTTTGCGGTACGCGGGCCTCTCACTGTTGCGGCCTCTCCCATTATGGAGCACAGGCTCCAACGCGCAGGCTCAGCGGCCATGGCTCACGGGCATAGCCGCTCTGCGGCATGTGGGATCTTCCCGGACCGGGGCACGAACCCGTGTCCCCTGCATCGGCAGGTGGACTCTCAACCACTGCGCCTCCAGGGAAGCCCTGGTGAGAGACTTTTAGCACTGGGTGACCTCCAGGTCAAGACAAACCTATGGGGTAGACTGTTTCAGGAAACCACCAGACAGGTTAAATAATGACAATTCTTTGGGCATGAGGCTTTGAAAGAACTCCAGCCTTGTTCTGCTCCCTCTAGTATTAGGGGTATGGGCTATTTTTCAAGGCTACTGCTAAGAGAAAACGGTGGGGCTAGGACAAGCTAAAATACCATAGGATTCATTATTTTTACCATGATTCAGCTCTTTTTCTTGAATAAATGCTCCTCTGATTGCTGCACACCTCTGGTTACTTTCCAGAGTTCTAAGAAAGCTTATTGTAACCATTCTGGCCAGTTCAGGGCTGCTTTCATGGAGGGGATATTTTCAAATGCACTTACTCCACTATTTTTGCTGACGTCACTCTGGATGCCAGGGCTGTTTTTGTAAATGAGTTTTGCTGGAATACAGCCATGCTCATTCATTTATACTGTCTGTAGTTGCTTTCATGATAATGGCAGAGATAAGTAGTTGTGACAGAAACCAGATGGCCCACAAAGCCTAAAATATTTACTTTTTGGTCCTTTCAGAAAACCTAAAAAAGAAAAGAAAAGAAAAGAAAAACCTCACCACCCCTGTTGTATATCCTATGCAGTCAGACCCCGCTCCCTTCACCCCCACACTCTTGCTCTCCCTGCTCTGGTCGTAGAGTTTCCAGGGCCTTTGCACAAGTTGTTTCCTCAGCCTGGGCCACTCCGCCCCCAAATCCTCCCATCGTCAACTTTTCATCATTCACCTTAACTGTGACCTCTTTAGAAAAGTCTTTCTCTGCCACTCTCTCTATATCAGTCCCAACCACCCACTCTCTAATATATTATCCTGTTTCATTTTCTACAGAGCTCTTGTTGAAGTGAACTGATCTTATTTTCTTTCTTCATTATCTGTCTCTTTCTCTAGAATGTACATTCTGTGACAGCTGAGAAACTGTCTTATTTACTGCTATATCCCTGGTGCCTAGAATAGTACTTGGCACACAGGCAAATATTTGACAAGCGATTGAATAAATGAATGAATCAGTTGAATTAATGTATATTCATACTGACACCACTCTCCCTCTATGACCACTCCTGTCTCCATCACAGGCTCACCCTCCTCCTCCCCATGGCCATCAAACGGAGGTGCTCCTCCAAGCTCTGTCCTGGGCTCTCTTCTTTTCTCAGGCTCTATCCCATTCTTAAGCAACCCTGCCCACACTTCCCTTTAAACTCTCCTCCTCTTCACAGCTGCCTCCAAGGCTTATTCCTCTAGCTCAGATCTCTCTTCTGAGCTCCAGAGCCACATATGCATCTGCCTTCTTGTTAGCTCCTTATGCACAGCTCCAAAACCTCAAAACCTAGCTCCCTTAGCCTCAAAGTTCTTTCAAAGAGTTATGAGTTCTCACCACTAGGTAAAGGTTCCCCACTTCTAGCAAGAGTCAGAAGGCCACTCCTTAGAGATACTCTGAGGAAAGAAGAGATGGATTGGACTAGACCCCCTCAAGCTTCCTTCCATACTGAGATGCTGTGATTATCTGACATGGATCTCTAGAGTTCTTATGATTAAGACCAAAATCCTTCTTATTTTGTCTACAAAGGCCTTCATGATCTGGCCCCACAGGCTCATCCAGGTTTATCTCATGCCTTGCTCCCCTTAAAAAAACAAAACAAAACAAAACCTAGCTCATTATGTTCCTTTTCCTACACCTGATCTTCTTGCAGTTTCTTGGGCACCACATCCACCATCCACTGTTCAAGTTGAAACTTAGGTCATTCTGTACACCCAAAGCTCCTCAACAGCATGTCCTGTCGATGTTGCCTCCTAACACTTCTCAATTCACTCATCACTGTCCATCCCCCCCATTATCATCCTGGTGTTAGCTCCCAGAATCTCTGGTCTGGACTGCTGAAATGGCCTCACTCCAGCCACCTCTCCAATCTATTCCTTTCAATGTAGCCAGGGACAAGAGGGATCTTTTCAAAACACACATCACATCACTCATTTGTCTAAACACTTTGATTAGCTAAGTACTCTTTAGATAAATGGAAAATTCCTTAATGTGTTCTGAAAGGTCTCTAGTTAAACTCTACCACACCTATCCACCTGACTAGCTCTGCCCACAGTCTGCTTTCCCTCCTGCTACAGTAGATGAGCTCTTGACCTCCTGTTAAGGCCAGCCTCTCCAATGTGCACTGCTCAATCCCCTCCCTCTTTCCTGAGGACTTTGCTTCTGCAGTTCTTCCCTCTCTTGCACCACTGATGAGCACTCCGTGAGCTAATGTATTGGTCAAGCTTATCAATTCCATTTCTTGGAATGCCTTCTTCGTTATCTTCTAAGACAGCCATGGTCTGGGTCGTTCTCAAACATTCCCAAATGTTTGTTTCTTTGAGAAAGAAGATTTGTGAGATTTTCCTTCTTTTCATGACTTCTGAATGTTAGGATGCACCAGGCTTCAGTCCTCAGACCTCTTCTCTCTGTACACTCCCCCCAGGAGAGATCATCTTGTTCCATGTACCTCAAGTTCCAGCCTTCTCTGAATTCCAGATCCCTCAACTAACAAATTTTTAAGAATCTTGAGCCATTCTACTTTTCCTCGGTTACCACCCTGGTCCATACAACCAGCATCTTGCCTGGACTGTTATAATAGCCTCCTAATGGGTGTCTCTGCCATCCTTGCCTCCCTATAGTCCACTCTCAACAAGTGGACAGAGGGATCCTTTTAAAACAACAGTCAGGTCACCCCATTCTTCTGTTCATCTCACTCAGAGGACAGACATTCCCATAGACTGCAGGTAGACCTGCAGGATCTGCCTCTAGGACTAAGTACATGTGGGTCCCAAAAATCTGAACAGTGCATTTCACCAACACAGGACAAAAGCTAGTGTGGATGATACTGAACATTGTCTAGTACCATCTTGAACAGAGAATAAAGGGGACAGAAGGGAAAAAAAAAAAAACCTTTATATGATGTTTGTCCCTTAATGTCATACATTTTCTATCTCTGCTTCATTTAAAAAGAGAGAAAGGGAAAAGGGGAAAGGGGAAGGAAGGAAGGAAAGAAGGAGAGAGAGAAAGGAAGAAAAGAAAGAAAAAAAAAGAGAGAATGAAAGAGAGATAAGCCCATTCTCGAGAAAGACCTGAAACAGAGAAGAAAGCTACCACTAATGAGAGAAACTAACCATTACTTAGGCATGGTTAGTGTCAGAGATTAGTGACACAACCTTAGTGTCAGAGATTCTAAGTACTTCAGGTAAATTCATTTCTTTTTAAAATATCATTTTGTCCTTTTCTCCCCTTTGGTCCTCAAAACAACCCTCTGAGAACAGTTATCACCTCAATAGTCATCAAACCACGAAAGCTCTGAGCGAGAAAGATGAGAGTGCATTAGTGTCAGGGCAGGACTAGAATCTGGGTCTGCTCTGTCTAAATCCTCTACTGGCTTCCCCAACATAGGAGAAACTGGGGGATGTGGGACTGTGAGGAGTGTGCCCCAGTAGGAATCACCTGTGGCTGAGATGAACTTGTTGTAGTTCTCATAGACCAGGGTCTGCATGTCGCTGTCTAGAGCCCGGATCTGCCGCACCATGTCCGTCTCACTGTCCATCAGCTGGGCCAGTGGGCACTCTCTTCGCAGCTGGAGGAAATTATGTGGTTAGTATCCAGGACAAGGGGGCACTCATGTCCCCCAGCCTTGCCCCTAACTGGTAGGCTTTTGGTGCAAGAAAACCCTGATCCCACCCCTGCCAGGAATATCAGACAAGGAACCTATAAGTGGCATAGCTCAGGAGTTACCAGGTCAGACCCTATTTGGGGTTTGTCGGCATTTGAAATACTCAGCTGCAGCCAAGGCCCAGTCCTACGCCTGTCAGCGCCTGGGCCACGCCCCCTATATCGGGTCTATCAGAACCTCAGCCCAGGAGACCTCAGACTTCGCACCATCTCAGGCCAGTCCAAGTCTGCCCACGACCCCTTATCTTCCAGCTCTGCCCCTATTGCCCGGCCCAGGGTCATCCTGCTTTTATGAACACCTCTTCCCTCGCCCCACCCTCCCCCCCGCAACAAAGTCGCAGGCGTGATGTGGGGTGCAATATATCGGGGGCCTGTTCCCCCTCCCGATACACACACCTTGTCCAGATACACTTCCGGGTCGAAGTGCGCCCCATTGAGATCTGTAGGGTCCAAGGGGTCCGGCCCCGCGGAGCGCCCCGCCGCCTCCACCTCCGAGAGGCCGTAGTAAAGCTTCAGCATCCCGTGCGCCTTCCGCCGACGCTCCGGAGCCTCCGCCTCGGGCCCCTCTGGGGAGTCCCCAGGTCCACAGCCCGGGCCACGTCCTGCGGTTGCCGCCGCCATGGCTCCAAGTGCAGCCCACAGGAGTGAAGCTGGGCAGGGGATAGGGAGGAGGTACTTCCGGGAGCCATAAAGTTGTTGTTGAAACAAGGCAGTCCTTCGGGTGAAACGTCCCCCTGCAGCCCTGGGTCCTTCGAGACTGGAGTTCCCCCGCACCTTTCCTCCCCGAGCGAAGAGGTTCCGCCAGAGCCCTGGGTTCCCCCAGCTTTGCAGGAAGGATTTTGTGGAACTGGTCGAGTCGCTGTCCTCCCAGAAGGAGGACGAGTCGTGGCTTCCAACCCTGCACCCCCGCAGACAGGGGCTGCGGAATATGTCCCTAGATGCAGTGGACGGAGCGCGGGCCGTGGAGCCAGAGAGGGTATGTCTGGCATCCTGCCACTGCCTTGTTACGGGGGTAGCAGCTCAGTTTCCCCCATTCCTAATATTGGGGTACATATTTCACAAGGGAGCTGCGAGGATTAAATGCATGTACAGTGCTGCACAGTGGCTCTAGCGCAGTGTTTCTCAAGGCCTGGTCCTCTGACGTGCATCAGAATTGCCTTCAGAATTACTTGTGGCGTGTTGCAAAGACTCTGGGCTCCCCTCAGACCTAGCTTATTTTTTTTAAGTCAAGCAGTTCTGGTGCACCTGAACTTGAGAACTCCTATTATACGCCGCTTAGAAGACACAGTTGGCACATCTTAAGTGACTGATGGGATGTGCTGACGGAGGGGTTAGGTGGAGATGTTGAGGATAATTCTCAGGTTTCCGATTGGGACAAAGGTACAGCTGTTCACCCAGGTGAAGAGCTGAAGATAGGGAAAGACTTGCAGTTCAAACTGAGACACGCCAAGTTTGAATGGATGAAAAGGAGAAAAAGACTGTGTCAGTGTGGTCCTTGAAACATTACTTATGATGGGCTGGGGGGGCCAGGGATGGAATGGAAACCACTTTATTCTTTGGCAGGGGTCCTGCCAGACAAACACAGCCCACCACCTGTTTTCATATGGCCTGTAAGCTTTTTTTTTTTTTCTTTTTTAAATGGTTGAAAAAAAATGGCATTTCATGATGTGAAAATCATATGAAATTCATATTTCAGTGTCCATGGGAACACATCCATGCCCATGCATTTACATATTATCTATGCCTGCTTTTGGTTTTTTAATTTATTTATTTTTGGCTGCCTTGGGTCTTTGTTGCTGCGCGCGGGCTTTCTCTAGTTACGGCGAGCGGGGGCTACTCTTCATTGTGGTGCGCGGGCTTCTCATTGCGGTGGCTTCTTTTGTTGTGGAGCACGGGCTCTAGGCATGCAGGCTTCAGTAGTTGTGGCACGCAGGCTCCCGTAGTTGTGGCACACAGGCTCCAGTAGTTGTGGCACGCGGGCTCAGTAGTTGCAGCTTGCGGGCTCTAGAGTGCACACTCAGTAGTTGTGGCACACGGGCGTAGTTGCTCCGCGGCATGTGGGATCTTCCCAGACCAGGGCTCAAACACGTCCCCTGCATTGGCAGGCAGATTCTTAACCACTGCACCACCAGGGAAGCCCTATGCCTACTTTTAACTACAACAGCAGAGTTGAGTCATTGCAACAGAGACGTACGGCTGGCAAAACCTGTAACATTTACTATCTTGTTTTTCACAGAAGTTTGCTGACCCCTGACTCTATGGGATACTCAGAGGCTGTATAAAAAATATACATGAAGATTTAAGCTTATCAAGCTATAATCTTAAGAAAAATGAAGAAAAGAGTATAAAGATTTAGGGGCTTCCCTGGTTGGTCCAGTGGGTGGGACTCTGCGCTCCCAATGCAGGGGGCCCGGGTTCGATCCTTGGTCAGGGAACTAGATCCCACATGCCTGCTGCAACTAAGAGTTCTCATGCCGCAACTAAGAAGTCCGCATGCCACAACTAAAGATCCCACGTGCCGAAACTAAACATGCTGCAACGAAGATCCCACCGCAACTAAGCCCCAGCACAGCCTGAATAAATATAGTCTTTAAAAAGAGTAGAAAGATGTAGATCTACTCCAAGAAATCTATAAACTTCAAAAAAAAGTTGCAGAATACTGTTAAGAAAAATTATCCAAAATTTGGAATACAGACGGTAGCATGACCTTCCAATATCATACTGGGGCATTGTTTCACAAGCCCACCCAAGGATTATTTAATTACCTATAGGAGTGTACATTTGTTTGATCTTGCTATTTAGATATTGTCCCAAAGAGATGCAAAACATCTATATCCAATGGAAAAATAACCTCAAAATTTGGTTTGTTTGCCCTGTAGGACACCAGCCAATTTTGTATCTAACCTAGTAATCATGTTCTAATATTTCTCTTTAAATGCCTATCCATATCCAGCTCCTCAAGACGCATTCCTACCTTACTGAGGGGGAACCCTTCACCGATGAGTTAAGACATCTTAGTTACATGTTTATTCTTTATTTAGAGATCATATTTTTAACTTTCTGAAAATTATACTTTGACAGTACACATGGTGTGATTTTGTTTTTTAAATTATGCATGTAGATGTACACGTAGGTGTATGAAGTTAACATCAAGAAGGGACTCAGGGCTTCCTGGTGGCACAGTGGTTAAGAATCCGCCTGCCAATGCAGGGGACACGGGCTCAAGTCCTGGTACAGGAAGATCCCACATGCCGCGGAGCAACTAAGCCCGTGTGCCACAGCTACTGAGCCTGCGCTCTAGAGCCCGCATGCCACAACTACTGAAGCCCATGTGCCTGGAGCTCATGTTCCACAACAAGAGAAGCCACTACAATGAGAAGCCTGCGCACCGCAACGAGTAGCCCCTGCAGCAGCTAGAGAAAGCCCGCGTTCAGCAACGAAGATCCAACGCAGCCAAAAATAAATAAATTAAACAAATAAAATAATAATCATAGGGCTTCCCTGGTGGCGCAGTGGTTGAGAGTCCGCCTGCTGATGCAGGGGACACGGGTTCGTGCCCTGGTCCGGGAAGATCCCACGTGCCGTGGAGTGGCTGGGCCCGTGAGCCGTGGCCGCTGAGCCTGCGCGTTCGGAGCCTGTGTTCCGCAACGGGAGAGGCCACGACAGTGAGAGGCAAGCATACCGCAAAAAAACCCAAAAATTATAATAATAATAAATTTAAAAAAATTTTTTTAAAAAGAAGGAACTCAAAAGATGCCCACTCACCGAACTGTTGAAGGGGTTACCTCCGTAGGTGTGGGGGTGGAGGGGGGAGACTGGTACATTCTCCTCTGTATGCCTGTGTATGATGCAAATCTTTTACAAGAACATATTCATACACTATGGGGGTAATTTTTAATTAATTAATTAATTTTTTTTTTTGCGTTATGCGGGCCTCTCACTGTTGTGGCCTCTCCCGTTGCGGAGCACAGGCTCCGGACGCGCAGGCTCAGCGGCCATGGCTCACTGGCCCAGCCGCTCCGCGGCATGTGGGATCCTCCCGGACCGGGGCATGAACCCGTGTCCCCTGCATCGGCAGGTGGACTCTCAACCACTGCGCCACCAGGGAAGCCCCTGGGGGTAATTTTTTTTTTAAATGACATTCAGGTAGAAGCCCTAACATAAAAACATTCGTTTGTATTCAAATGAGAACTAAAGTGCAAACAATTGTTTCAATGGTGTGAACACAGCTGGGCATCGGGCATCACCCCTTCAATGTGTTAAGATGGGGGTCTGAGGGTCTCTTGTGATTAATGACACTGGGCAGCAATAATGGATGGTGGTGTCAGGCTTTATTTAACCTTACTGCTTCCAGGCAGGAGACTTCCGGTCTTGACCTGACCTGGGACCTGACTTCTGGGGCAGACAGTCAGGCAGGAGGCAATGGGGCTGGCCAAGTTCAACATCAACTCTTCTACAATACTTTAGTTCCTGGGAGTTTGCATGTCCCTCCACACCATTTCTGGCCAGTTTTCTGACTTATTTTGTTGACAGTCCTGGAGTTCTCACCTCTCACACGTACAGAGGAAATGTTTTTTTCTTGTCATCTAATTGTCCCTACCCATTCCACAGCCTCAGGTAGAAGTGGATATTAGTCTTAGTACTGATTCCCTCACTCATTGGCTGCGAAAACTTGAGCTGACAATCCCTCTCTGTGCCCCAGGCTTGTGTGTAAAATAGGATTTGTGCCACCAGTCCCAGCTTTCTCATGGGACTCTTGGAATGGTAGAGACAATGAGTGTTAAGATGCTGAGGGCTGGAAGGCAGCAGAGGGGAGAGCTGGTCAGCATCATGTGTTGGAAGAACATCTGGGGAGAAGATGGAAAAGCCAGTTGCTCTCCAGGGCCCACCTGGGGAGGATGTGGGAAGGTCCTGGGACAGCTATGGAGAATCTGTTGTCCCTTCCCTTACTTCCTCCCCATTAGGGGCTGGAACAAATACTTAGAGTTTGTGATCCAGCCCAGGCCTGCCCTCACCTGGCTACATCCTCCAGTTCTACTGGAGAGATCTCATTAGGAGAGATTACACCTGACCTCTCATCTGCCTAAGACTTGCTGAGGACCTACATGCCCCTTCACATTTTTTTTTTTTTTTTTGGCTGTGTTGGGTGTTCGTTGCTGTGCGCGGGCTTTCTCTAGTTGCGGCGAGCAGGGGCTACTCTTCGTTGTGGAGCGTGTGCTTCTCATTGCGGTGGCTTCTCTTGTTATGAAGCATGGGCTCTAGGCATGTGTGCTTCAATAGCTGTGGCTTGCAGGCTCAGTAGTTGTGGCACACAGGATTAGTTGTTCCATGGCATGCGGGATCTCCCCGGACCAGGGCTCGAACCTGTGTCCCCTGCATTGGCAGGTGGATTCTTAACCACTGTGCCACCAAGGAAGTCCCCCCTTCGCTTTTCTGAGCCCCAGTTCTTCATCTGCAGAATGTGCCCACACTACCTCCTGCGTGGAACTGTTGAGGACTTAGTGAAAAGATTTGCCCAAGAGCACAAAGTGTGTGGGCTGGGATGGTGAGGTACACTGTCCCTCCCTCAACACGGTAGGGCCCCGCTGCTCTGTACCTTTAGCCCAGCCCCCCTCCACAGTTCAGAGCTGCCCTGGCCACCCATGAAACACTCCTGTATTGGCTGGAAACAGCCTGTGCTCGAGAATCTTGTTCTCTATGTCCTCCTGATTCTAGAATCCTACGGCTATTCCAGACTGTGCGCTCCAGAACCGGAGGGGTCGGCTGCTCCTCCTGGGCAGTGTCCGCTTGCTCAAGCTGTACCAGCTGCCTTGAGTCTGTGCTGCCGCCAGGATGCGGTGGCGGGACCGCGTGGCCGTGCTCTTCTTCCCACAAGGCATGATTCTCACCATGGCTGCTCTGATGCTCTTCTTCGTACACCTGACCGTCTTCGCCAGTGACGTGCACAACTTCTGTATCACCCACCACTATGACCGCATGAGCTTCCGCTACACAGTTGTCCTGATGGTAGGCCAGGGCAGGGGCTCGAGGGCTGGTCAGAGGAGGCCCAGGGGCTGATGGAAACCCCCCTGTGTGTCAGGGGGCCACTCTCCCACGGGATGGGGCCTACAGTTCTCCCAGGTGATCGGCATCTGCTGGGCCGCCATGGGGTCACTCTACGCTGAGATGACACATGACAAGTTTCGTCGATGCTTTTCCCTGACCGTCCTGAGTGAGTAGGGTGTACGCAGCGGGAGGGGGGAGCTCTGGAACCCTGAGATGCAGCAAGGAGGGGGCAGGCAAGGCTGATGGGGGCTCTCTCCTCTGCCCAGTGCTCAACGGAGCCATGTTCTTCAACCGCCTGTCCCTGGAGTTTCTGGCCATAGAGTACCGGGAAGAGTACCACTGAGGCTTGGGGCCCAGGCTGAGAAGGGGGAAGGAAAAGGCTGCTTCGGGTGTTTTAATAAAGTCTGTAATTTATTTCCACCTGTCAGCTCCTTTGGGGGAGGGAGGGGGAAAGCTGGAGACCCAGGAGGAGAAGGTCAAGACAAATGTTTGATCTGCAGGAACCCCAGGCCTAGCCTGCAGCCACTCTGGTGGACTTGGCTTTGGGCCTGGGATCTTAGTGTCTCAGGCTTGAGGAAGAGGAGCAGAGAAGGGCCCCTGGACCTCCCCCTCTACCCACCCTCAGGCCCCCAGCTCCTAGGCTGGCCCAGCCATAAGCAGGGGCTCAGGAGGGACCCACACGGATGTGAGGGTTCATGAGCGGGTCCAGGTTGGGATCGCTGTCAGCCGCAGCCCGGCCCAGGCGAGACATGAGCGCAAGGAGGGCCAGGAAGCCCAGCAGCCCCAGGAGCAGCAGCAGCCCTGCCCGCTGGAGCAAGGTCAGCGGCCGCTTACGAGACCCAGCCCGGCTCCTGGGGGGATGAGGGGAAGTCAGGTCAGGCCTCCAGTCCCTGGCAGCCCCTGCAGCCGGGAGAGGAGCCCCAGCCATGACGCTCGTCTTCCGGCCCCAGCGCCACCATCCCTGAGCCTGGTTTCCTCAAGGGTGGTCATCCCTGCGCCTGCCCACTACCAGGCTGACTATGCAGCTCAAACCAGCTGAGGCAACAACTGTGTTCTGAAACTGGAATGTGTCGGGCATAAGGAGAGTCACAAAGATTGGGGGGTGTCAGAGCAGGAAGGGGCCTCAAAGAGCCCGAGTCCGAACCTCATACGTAGCACGCAAGGAAACACCCAGAGGGGGGCAGACCCAAGCCCAGGCTTCGGTGCACAGCCCCTATACCAGGTCCCACTATTACCCAGAACAAGCCCCTTTTGTCATGAAATAGCCCTGCCAGGGTCTCTGGCTCTCACTTCCCCTCCTCCCCCTTCCTGGCATCCTGCCCCACCTGACCCCATGTACCTGAGCAGCTGGGCCAGCCAGCCCAGGGCAGGCCGGCGACGGTACTTGTCATCATCACAATCCCCATGGAGGCCTGGCGCCCGGTCATCATCCCGCGTGTCATACACCTTCCTTGGGGCTGAGGCTGCAGGGGCAGAGCCACCGGCATCCACAGGCTCAGGAAAACTGGCCCATAGCGGGGTGGGGAGAGGGGAGGGCAGGAGATCCCGGCCCTTCTCAGCCTAACAGCATCTCGGAATTGTGGGGAGGTAACGTCTGTGATGCAGTGAGGAAGGGTCCCTGTGGGTGGGTGTCCAGACCCCCGAGCTCCCTCCACGCAAAGCACCCCACTCCCATTCTATCCTCCTCTGGCCTGGACAGTTCCCCGGCTCACCGTGAGTCAGAGGCTCGGGATTGCCCATGTGGATCACCATGTGCTGCTCGGGTCGGCTCGGGGAAGCAGGGGGCCGGGGGACTTGGCTGTAGAAGGCTGGGGCAGCAGAAGCGCTGGCTGTCTCCTCTTGTTTGGGGCTACCACTGGCTGTGGGCAGGAAGAGAGCTGTCAGCAGAGCAGGGAGGCAAGGGCCCCAACAGCAGGTGGAGACCACCACTTACCATTAAAGCTGGACCAGTCAGAGAAGTCGGAAGTGTTGAGGGGCTCAGGCTCTGGGCTCACCACCTCGTCAATCTGGAGGAAAGAACAGATGTCACCAGCCTGCCCAGTGCTGTCCCCACCCACCCACCTGGCCCAGGTGGGACCCAGGGGATACAGGCTCTCACCAGAGGAAGACCCAGTCCTGCCCGGGCCCAGTTGACTGTGGCCAGTTTCTCTCTCAGTGCGGAGGCCACGGGGCCGGCCAGGTTGGTTGGAGGGAAGATGGGGCCACTGCAGCTGGGGCACTGGTAGCCAGCAGGTGCTGTGTTTTGGGGTAGCTGGGCAGCACGTTCATTGAGGCAGGCCCAGTGGAAGAGATCTGAGGGCCCATGAAGTAGTGGAGGAAAGACATGAAGAAGCAGACACTTAGGACCCCTAGCCCAGCAAGAGCCCCCAGCCTGCTGCAGAGATACATGCACACATAAGTGTAAGCCCAGGGCCTTCTCTTGCCCATCCTCACCCCAGGTCCACTTCCTCAGTATTCCCTAAGACTTTGGCCTTCCTGGCCACCACTATCTGACTAAGTTAAGGCAGATGCTACCAAACTTCCCAGCCCACTAGGGGGTGGGGGTGGGTGGGAAGAAGATGCCACCTACCCTTTCCATGAGTCCTCTCTGGACTCGCACTCATCACAAGCTCATTGGGCTAACAGCTCATCAAGAACAGTTTCAGAAAAGGTTACTAGACATACACACAGGAACACGTATGGGTGTACACATCCATGGGCACAGATATACACGTGTTTATATACATGTCAAACGCAGGTGCCATCCCCTACATCCACACATACGGGCAGACTAACTCTCACATACACATCTATACACTCACGTTTGCTAACACTTACGCACCCTCACCTAGGAATTCTCCTGCAACCCCACAACACACCTGTGCTTATATGTTCACATACAACAGTTACCCATTCATTCACCCATAGTACTAATGAATACACTAACACTTATGTAAAGACACAATGCACGTTCAGTTCATGCACATATAAACACACAGTGAGAAACACATACATGGAGCGCACTCTTTTACACTAGTTCCTTCAAAAAGTGGAGCTAAGGCTCTTACACCAGAGTCAGGTCAAGGTCATGACACATGCCCCTGCTGACTTCCTTTAGCTGACATTACTGTGAGGAATGCAGTTCCTCTCTGTTTAATCTTGGAATCAGAAATGGATCCTGAATGTCTGAAAGCCCCATGCTTTCAGCTCACTGCTGGTATGGCCAGCTACTGCTCACAGCTACAACCACACCCACAAGTTTGACTGCTCTCGCTCAACCCTAGAGATTGGCAGGGAAGAAGCTAGAAGCTTTAATTTTTAGGGAAAAACACTAAGGCCTCTTAAGGGGAAATGACTTGCCTGAGCTCACACAGCAGGTAAGTAACCTAGCTGGACCAGAACCTGGGGCTCCAGCCTCCCAGACTTGAGAGGTCACTGTCCTGCTGCTTGGGGAGTGCCTGGAAACTGGTCACGCTGGGCCTGTCCTGATCCCCCCATAAGGTGCCCAGGCCTCACCATAACAGACCAGGCGGGTCGTCTCCCGGGAGGCCAGGGGTATGTTGCAGAGGCGGCAATTGGGGTTGTAATCGCTATCTTGGAGCCACTGCAGGTAGGACTGGACGATGCACTGAAGTGGGAGAAAGAGGTCACAACTGGAGCAAGAACTCCACAGCCCATCTCCCCAAAGCCCAGATGCCTCTTTTTCTCATCACAGAGGAGATTGATACTTCTGTTCGACCAATCAATAAACATTTATTGAGCACACACAGTGTGCCATACTCTGACTTAAGCACTGGGGATACAACAGTGAACAAAATAAACTAAGTCCTTGTCCTTGTGGAGCTTCCATTCTAGGGCCAGGCCCTTCATGGATTTGGAGGAAGTCAATACTGCCTGCCCACCTAGTGCCCTGCTCAGCCGTTCCTCTGAACACTCACCTTGGCGTGATTGGCTACCAGGCAGTGCTCGCAGACGTTGACCCGGTGTTCGAAGCAGAATAGGTTGGTCACCTTCCTCTTGGGGCACTTGCAAAGCCCCATAGTCGACCCTGAGGAAGGGGTCTGAGTTGGCAGGGAACCAGGTTCTGGTGGCCGCCACAACGCACTCACCAGCCCAGTTGTTTCCACTCTTACCTGCCCTAGACACCTCTCGTACTCGCCCCAACCCCAAACTCTTGCCCACCGTCCCTCTCCATTCCGGCCACGCCCCCTGCATAAATCCCACCTCCGGAGACCCCAGATGCCTCCCGCATCCCAAACCTGGCCAGGCCCCTCCATCAGTCTCTCCGATACCACCGGCCCCGCCCCTAGGGGCCCCTCCCGAGCCCCACCCCCTCCAAGCCCCGCCCCCACCTTCCCCACAGACCCCACTGTGTGTTACGAATCGGCTGCGGCACTCGTCCCCAGGGCGCGAGCGCCGGTCCGAGGTGCGGAAGGTCAGACAGCACTCAGCCGAGTTCTCGCTCGGCTCCCTCCAGCTCAGAACCCTCCGATTATCCCTCCACTGCCACGTCTCTTCCGGGTGCGGCGCGCGCTGATGACACCAGCTCGCCTCTGGCCCCGCCCCTGCAGACGCTAGACGTGGAGGCGGGTGGAAAAGGGGTGACCAGAGGTCGGCGGCCCTCCCGCTTTACGTCACTTCCACTTCCTCCCGGGTAAGGCGGGTAATTCGAACGTTTGCCCTTCGGGTTGGCGCGAGCCCTGGCGGCGGTGGCTGCGGCGGCTGCGGCAGTAGAGCTCGAGACCAAGGCTAGACATGTCCCAGAGGCGAACCCGGTCCGGAGGGGCCGCCCAGTGCTCCGGTGAGCGGAGGGCGCGCGGGAGAGATGGGGCTGAGCAGTTTGTGGGACGCAGTTCCGTGAGGAAGGCCCTCCCCCCACCGCCCTAGGAGGCTCGTCCCCCTCCCGAGAAGGCGCCCCCAAAGGGCCTGTTTGGGAACTCTCGCTCTCTTCAGCTCCTGTTCTTTCTAGACTCTGAGGTCTAGAGTCCTCCCCTACCTGCTAAATTTGTCTCTTTCCAGGGCCCAGCGCCCCAACTTCCACTCAGTCTCTGCGGAGGTCCCAGCGGAAATCAGGCTCTGATCTCCCAAGCATCCTCCCGGAAATCTGGCCTAAGGTGAGCCCCGGGTTCCTCAGTTCCTCCTGCCCCGGAGGCCCCTGGGCTAATGTAGAGCTCAAGTTCACCCCTCTTCTCCAGGCACCCCAGGCGACTCCCGTCAGAAAGCCCATCGTCTTGAAGAAGATCGTGGCCCATACTGTAGAGGTGAGGACAGAGAGAGGGGTTGTAGGTGGGGAGCCAGAAGTGGGATCAACTAGTGTTGATGTGATCAACTAGTGTTGTCTCCACAGATCCCGTCTGTTCATTCGCCTCGAAGGAGCCCCCGGGTAAGTTCATTTTCATTTTCTTAGTTAAGGGAAATCCAGGACAGACAGTCTAGAGCTG